AAGGTGCAGACTCTACAACTGAAGAACTCCTGCCAGGAAGCCTACTGGACAGACTAGAGAATAACAGCACAGTGAAAAATATGAAAAGAAAATACACCAAAAAAAAAGTTCCTAGAAAACTGAAATTACTACAACACAGTAAAGGCAAACATTTTCATGTGGAATAACAAAAATTTATGTATAAGTAGTTAATTTTAATAATCTTACTCCAGTAAGCAACACAGTCTTGTACACTTAACTGTGAGTTTCCGTATCCTTTAAAAAAGGTAAGTCTTTGGAATATTGTTACACTTGGCTAAAATGAGTACACAGTCCTTTTAAATGTGCTTCATTTTATGAAGCTAATCTTTTGTTCATTTTTCTATGGCTTACATATTTTTCTCTTATTAGTTCCATTATATGTATTTATATTCCATGTGCCAAAAATGTGTGTCCTTGAACAGAGAGGTACATTGAGTGGCTAAGAATTCTACTGCTCTGTGTCAGATGAGAAATCCACCTTTCTCTTTCTGAAATCTCTGTCCGGAGTATCCCAGCACCTCAGGTCTGCCCAGCCTAAGTGAGAAAGGTTGATACTCCAGAGTAGTGCTGCTTGAGAGGGTAAAGTCTGTAAGAGACAGAACTGGGCCTTCTGCCTGTCTGTGCTTCCTGGAAATGAGCTGCCATGAAGTATGGCCTGTAGATCTAAACACAAACCCCTCAAAAGTGAACTAGACATAAATCTCTCTCTCCATTGTTGATTATTTGAAGTCTTTAGATAGTGGTAACACAAAGTTGACTGGCACATCTGGGAAACTCCTATGGGAACAAGCAAGTGAAATAAAGTGCTGGGATCTACACAGAATTGCAGAAGCCCCTGACAGCACCCTGCAGCCAGCTTCATCAGGTCAAGCCTTCCTGTGTCCAGAGACACTCATGCTGAGTAATGTCTGTTTGAGAATAAGGGGATTTTCAAACTTTCATGAAAGTACACCCTTCATAAAGAGCAATTTTAAAGGTCTTTGCCTAGAACACGAATTATAAAGTTGCCTTTAAAATTGTATCATTAAATTTCTAGACATAGCAAGTTTCTAAGAATGGCTGAAGAGTTGCATAGCTCTGGTTCCAAATCAGGTACTCTTTCATTCCACACAGCAATTCCCTCCAGGCACATCACTCCTCTTTAAGTTAAACTTATTTTCCAGAATTATTATGGTAAAAATATCCCTTAGCAGCTCTCTTAAGTCTTAGTTAAATCAAGTGTTTTTTGAGAGTATACCAAAGAGTTTTCTTTAAAAAAAAAATGGAAGAAAGGAAAAAAAAGGGAGAGAAGGACAGAGAGACAGAGACACAGAGAGAACAGATTTGACATTGGCTGTTGTTGCATACAGTCAACACACAGAACCTGCTATCATTTGATTTTCTTCTAGTTTGTTGCCAGGGAATGATCTTTAACAGGCCTAAAGTGAGATTCTTTTTATGAACACTGGGAGAAAGAACATGGGAAGAGACTTAAATAAACCTCCCATGCTGTGTCGCACACAGAGATAAACTTGTCAACTATTCATAGGGTACTAAAAACTGCACCAGCTCCCAGATACCAGCCCTATCAGAATGCCACTCAGTGAGAAATTCACAGGCAGTGAGTCAGTCTGTATCTATCCCAAGCTACTGTTTAACAGTGAGATTTTTACTTGCAGAAAACCTACATGGTAAACTGTTAGGACACCTCAGCTGCTCAGCAGGAAAAAGGACTCTCCAGGAAAAGAGGTGTTGCAAGTATCACTTTAGTAGACAGGCTTGGACTATGAACTGAAAGTAAGGTAGAAGCCTTAAGTGAAGCAATTCATGAACATCAGTCACCCAGTGGAAATGCTGGCAGACACACTGGTCACAAGATTGTGTATGACCGGAATAAACAGCTTGTTATCATGAGAGAGGCTTTGGAAGGTGAGAGGGAAAGTGTGCAGTGACAATGGAGCAGCACCATTGGCATGAAGGCTCTAACCCAGACACGACAAGATGCAGGAAGTCCTAGTGCACGCCTCCAGAGACAGAACTGCACAGCTGATGAAGTTCAACATGTTAAGACATAATGAAAAGCACAGTGCCTGTTTTAAAGTGTCAGTAAATGAGTTACTGTCTAGACTCATGAGTGATATGATGGGAATGAATAGTGGATGTCTATCTAGTAGACCTGGCTACTGAGGATTCTGGAAACAGGAGGCTGGTGACAACCTCAGTAATCGTCTGTAGTGCAACGGAAAAACAACTTGTAGCTCATTTTGGATACAAAACTTTGGAACAGGGGCTATTTTAATGACGAATTCAAGAAAACTTTGATTCTTGTACTTAGTGAAAGAAACATATTGATGTTTTTATATAATTTTAAATGTATGTGTGTACATATGTGTGTAGTATGTATGTATGTGTGCTCCTGTGTGTGTGTGTGTGTGTGTGTGTGTATCCAGGTCAGAGGTCAGCCTTGGATGTTGCTCCTTAGGTCCTCTCCACCTTGTTTTCTAAAATAAGGACTCTCACTGCCCCGGAACTCCTGACTAAACTTGGCTGGGTGCTCAATGGGCCTCTCTTGGATGAGGATTACAGAGGTGTGAGCCATCATGCTGGTCTTTCACATGGGTTCTGGAAAGTCAGATCTTATTTTTGCATTGTAGGTACTCTACCAACAGAGTAATCTACCCTCATGCTCTGCCGTGCTTTGTTCCAGTTTTTTCAAACAGAAAATGTTATTGGTATCCAAGTGGAATAAAAATACTAATTTTGAGAAAGGGAAGTCGTATACAAGCTCAATGATATGCAAAGACTGGTTAGGGTTGGATAAATGTTTGATCAATGGTGCAGCCTGATGTCACCAGGGAGAATACAAAGGGTGACTATCTAGGACAGTTGGCGCAGATTGGTTAGGACCTGGGAAGTCTCTAGAATGTAAGTGCAGAGAAGAGAGAGCCAAACTGTATGGTGTGAGCTCCTGTTCCATATCTCACAGGGGTGGGTGCGTGTTCATGTGTATGTGTGGGTGGGGGACTGGATGTATGTATGTGCACATGTTCGTTGAGGCCAAGGATCAGTTTCAAGAATCATTCCTTAAGAGATACCTTTCTTGTCTTTTTGAGATAGAGTCTCTTATTGACCTGGAGCTCACGCATTATGCTACATTGTCTAGCCAGCAAGCCCCGTCTCCGCCTCCTCAGCACTGGGCTTATAGATGTGTATCCCCATGCCCAATTCTTTATGTAGCTATTGGTGATTGAACTTGGGTTCCCATGCTTACATGAGAAATAGCTTTGCAACTAAGTTGTCTCCCCAGCATTACAACTTTTAGTTTCTTATCTACAGGTAATCACATGAATCTTAGGGGGGAATGTGAAGAGTGCTTGCTACTCCAAAGTCTGCAGGATTGGGTACTTGGCACATGTGTGCTCTCTGGTTATAAGCACAGTTCTAACTTGTCATCTTAAGTATTTGTTTGACCACTGAACTCTCATCATCAGCTCTGCTTGTAGGACCAAGCTCAACCTCAGGTTCTATAGAGAAGAACAACTGCAATGCCACTGAAAAGAGGAGGGGGGAGTGCTCGCCTAAAATAAAAAAAGTTCTGGGCTCCAAATGAGTACCATATAAGCCCAGTCTGGTGGCCCATGCTTGGAGTCTCAACTTTCTAGAGGTGGAAGCAGGAGGATCAGAAGGTCAAGGTCATCCTCTGCTACATACCAATCTGGGATACAGAAATCCCTGTTTTAAAAGAAAGGAAGGAAGGGAGGGAGGGAATAATTTAATTGAATCACACTAAAAGCTCCTGTGCCTATATGTATTCCAGAGTGATTCTCTGTGGTTTTTAGTTTCCCATAGCTTTCTAGGACAAAGCTGTGAACTAGCAAGGGAATAAAGGAGTCGTCTCAATTCTCATGATTCTTCTCATGATTGTTAAATAAGGCAAATGAACTGTTGTTAAAGCTAATATAGACAATGGATTTTGTGATTTGTGAAGTTACTCTTAAGATTCATTTCATGTTTATTTCATTTCTTCATTTAAATGTTGTATGTAATAACTTCTCAATTAAGCTAATCAACTAAAAAAGCAAAAAGCATGTAAAGTTACACAGAATGCTTGATGAAGACAAAAGTGGAAAAATGCCTCCTTTCAAGGTGTTTCCAGCTTCTCAAGGCAGATAGCCCTCTAGAAAGTCACCCACAGTCTAAACTTCATCAAGAGCACCTCCTATTTCTAGCCAAGCAGATTAACTGCTATGAGATACACTTTCTGGTGGTAACAGGCACAAGAGTACTGAGAAGAAAACTCAGACCAGGAGTCACTATGTTCCTTGAAAGAATGAGAGAGGTCAAATAAGTGCTGTGAGTCTAGCCTCTTTCCTTAGGTGCTTCCTAAAAAGGATACAATCAGGTTCTGGTGTAGAAATCAACGTCTTTCAGATTAGCAGTCGGGGACATCAGTGAGGCTGCAGATCATAAGAAAACATGACAGAATCAAGAAGCCATGTATGTAAAATGGTCCCTTAAATTTTCTGACACACAGCAAGTAGGTCACAGAGAGCTTCCTGGGGCCCCTAAGCCATTTATCTGAGATCTCTAAGCATTAGCTTAGCAGCAAAAACATTCAAAATTTACTATACAGTCATGTTCATATCCATGTACTTTAAAAACCACTCAAAGGAAATCATGTGTAGCTCTATACTCCTGTAACCTCAGCACTGGGAGCTGGAGACAGGAGGATCAGGAATTCAAGGTCTTCCTCTCCTACTTAAAAAGATCAAGATGTGCTTGAGCTACTAAGACTCTGTCTCAATGTTTTAAATACAACAAAACACTTAAAACATAAATTTGTTAGTAAATGAATGAATGGCTCAGAAGAACAAAGATAGCACTTACAGAAATCAAACCACAGCCAGTCAGGGTGGTTCTTGTTTGGGATTGGGGCACGTGGGAATCAGAAGCAAAAGCAGACGCATCACAAGTTCCAAGGTCCACAACCAACCTGAAAAGCAAACAACACTGCACTCAACCCAGAAACTCAAATCTGAATCCTGGCTTTTCCCAGACTGGCATATCCACTAACATTTTAGTTCCAATGACGAGAAATACAAAGAAGAAACAAAACCAACTGATTCTGTGACAACAGACAGAGAAACAAGGTGAGTGGAGAAGAAATAAAACAAGGAGGAACCAGGGAACGCCACTAGAGAATTGAAAATTGAAAAGTTTTTAAAGTTGGATTCTAGGCACTAAAACCGAAAAGCCTGAACTCAAGTTATCAGTAGATGCAGTTTTCAGACAGGTAGATACTGGAGAAAAAGATGTGAGAATCAGGAGACATGGTATTGGAGTAGACCCAAGTGTCCCTATCTACATTAACTCAGTATTTGGGCAGTGATAACATTTGAAAAATATCTTTGAACTTTATAAATTTACCAATAAGCATCACAATATATAGCACAAATTCTGATTTAACACACATACAACAAGCACAATTGTAGAGTTTCCAGAGTCTGATTGTTGAGAAGCCTTGTTAAGAAAGAAAATCTCTTAAAAGCACTGAAAATAAACATTAGTAGAAAGGAAAAATGTGTAAAAAATATTTTATTTTTCATCAGGAACAATGTAAGTCTTAGGATATTGGAAGGATAGATGAAAATATTGAAAGAAAAAAATAACTTTTCAAGCCAAACATCTATAATCAATAGAACTTCTTCTAAAATGAAAATGAAATAAAGACATTTTAAAACAAACAAAAGTTAGAAGAATTTGTTACTACAGATGTGGCCTGAAGGATTTTCAGCACAGGCTCCTGAGGATGAGAGTGAATAGGCCAGAGGGGACTCAGGTTCCACAGGGAAAGAAAGTAAGAAAAGAGGGAAAAGAGAACAACAGGTCCTTTCATATTTAAAATGCTATTTTTGTTTGTTTGTTTTGCTTTTTGAGGTGAAGTCTCATGTACTCAGGCCGACCTCAAGTTCACTGTGTAGCCAAGGATAACTCTGAGTTCAAATCCAACTGCTTCTGTCCTCATTCCCAGTTTATACAAAGCTGGACATGGAACCTAAAGCTGCCTGCATGCTTGATAAGCAAGCTTCCAACAAAGACCCAATCCAAGCCCCAAACTACAGTTTAGAATGATAACACCAATGACAATATGAATCAGAAAACACTGCCCATCCAACTGTGCCATCTTGGTGAAGCCTGTGCAGTTCAACGGGGACAGAAAAGATGGGCTAAAGCAGGAACAGTTTCTTATTTACCTTTTTACTGTTGTGAAGAGATCATGACCAAGGCAACTTGACAAAAGATAGCATTTAACTAGGGGCATTCTCACAGATTCAGAGGCTTGGTCCACAATCATCATGGCAGGAAGCATGGTAGTAGGCAGCCATCAAACTGGAGCAGTACCTGCAACCTCTATATTCTGATTCCCAGGAAGCAGGAAAGAGATGGAGAGAGACCAGGCCTGGCATGGGCTTTTGAAACCTCAAAGTCTACTGCCAGCAATACATCTCATATATCTCCTCTCACAAGGACATATTTGTTAATCCTTCCCCCAAAATTTATCAACTGGAGATTAAAGATGTGAATACATGAGCCCATGGGGTCCGTTTTCATTCAAACTACAACAAATAGTAGCAAGAAAACTTGGGTGTTGAGTAAGATTAAACATCCTTGGTCTAAATAACAAAGAAAGAAGAAGGCTGAATGAAGACACAAAGGTTTTTCAGTTGTAATTGTTTAGATGAGTGCTGCCAATACAGATGAAATTTCTATATTTGTTTCTAAATTTACCTTCAGTAGTTGCCTTGGGCTTCTTTCTATTAGTGCAGCAAAATACTGTGCCTTCATAAAAGGCATCTTTTATGAAGAAAGAACGTTTATTTTGGTTTTGGAGGATACAAGTTCAAGTAGTTGCCATGGCAGGAAACACTTTGGGCATGATCACATAAGCAATAGGAAGCTGAAGAAAGTTTGGCTCTTTCTAAAGACATCTTCAACTGACCTTTCAACACTGCTCCATTCTGGTCCAGTCTTCCATTATCTTTTTCCAGCACTTCAATTATACTTAATCTATAGCAGCCACAAATACTCTTTTAATAATGCTTTAATAATATAAATAATGTTTTATATTTTTGAAATATAGGAGAAGTTCAGTTTCGGACACACTGAAAATAGTCCCTGGAGCTTAAGCCAAAATGAGTTCCCTGATTTTCTGTGGGAGTCACACAGACCCCCTGTAAGAAAAGAATTCTCTTAATTGCCACATCCCCTTTCCACCTCAGCCAGACACGGCCTGTTCCTTTTCATTAATACTCTGCTTCCTTTAAAAATAAAAATGCCCCCTAGAAAGAGTCACACAAAAACCTCACACTGTTTCAGTCTGAAAGCAGGTATCAAAAAATAACTTGTTGGTTATCTGTAAGGCCAAAAAGTAATGAGCAGATCAAGAGAGGTTTCAAAGAAACAGGGAAAAAAAAATCTCCCAATGATTCCCTGAAGAGAAGTCTGGGAAGCCAGGACAAGGTGGAGTCAGGAGGACACAAACTGTGTGCAGCAACCTGCAGTGAAAGGAAGAGGGGATTAACTCAGAGGGAGGTGAGAATGTGGAGAAGCACCTACTTTGCAATTATAGGACCAAATCATTCTAAAGCAGCAGACAGATGCTCTGCCCATGAGAGACTAGGGTCCTGAGTAGCAGTGACAGATGGAAAAGGGTCAGGAAGTGTCTTGATTTCACAGCATAAAGATCCCTTATGACACTAAGAAGTCTTGTAGACCATCTCTCTCATTGTCACGTATTTAATATTGGTATCTACAGAAAACATCTTTTCCAGTCTGTATGGAAATGAAAATTGTGAATTCAGAATTGCATTTGCTGAACATGTGTGTATAACATATACATGCTGTTTTTGTTGCCCATCTTGTTACTGGATCTAGATATCTGACAATGACCATTTTTCAGAGAAGATTTAACTTGGTTCACAGTATCAGTTCATTTTGCTGGGGAGTCATGGTGATGGCAAGAGTATAAGGCAGTTGTCATGCTGTACCTTTAGTTTGGAAGCACAGAGAGATGAGTGCTGCCAGTCAGCTCCCTGTGTCTTGCTCATCCAGCAAAGGACTCAAACGCATTGGATGGTATTGCCAACATTCAGAGTTGGTCCTCCCTCACAAAAACTCCCAGAGATATGTTTCCTAGCTGTCTCAAATACAGACCAGCTGACAAGGAAGATTCACTATCACACAGATACACATAATTATTTATAAAGATATTTTAAAATATAAGCAAACTTGTTAATCATGTTTCTTGGCTAAACCTCTCTCTTTCTCTCTCTCTTTCTCTCTCTCTCTCTCCTCTCTCTTTCTCTCTCTCTTTCTCTGTGTATGTGTGTGTGTGTGCACGTGCATACACACACACACACACACACTTCACATATGCTATGTGCTCTGGCATGAGTGTAGAGGCCAGAGGATAACTCTGTAGACTTGGTTGTCTCCTACCACTTTACATGGGTCTCTAGTATTCAACTTAGATCTGCCTGAAGAGCAAGCATCTTTAACTGAACCATGCCATTAGACACCTTAGATTTTGAGACAGGAGCTCCCATTAAATCTGGAGCTATCTGATTTAATCAGACTGGATGGCCAGAAAGAAGCAGGGATGCTCCTGTCTCTATCTCCCCAGCACTGGACTACATGTGTGTACCAAATGTCTTGATATTTATGAATTCTTAGGGGCCAAATTCAAGTCCTCATTCTTGGATATCAAGCATTTTACTGATAGAGCCATCTCTTGATCTCTTGTGCCATTAAAATATTTTTAGAATTGTAATTTCGCTGTAAGGAAATTGAATTAATTTTTCAACATGAAATATTGCTTAGATATGTGATATCTACTTTGTTTATATTATTTTAAAAAGTAGTACTAGGATGTTAGTAAACAGAAAATAGTTATGTATGGCTAGATTTGAAGACATTCATCAAGGAAGGAGCTTGGTACATTGAGATTGAATAGGAAAGATAATAGAAGCAAGGACTCACCAACTTGTCCCTTCCAGATGACCATCTATCTGCTCCCTGTGATGCCTACATTGATTTCTTTACAACCTAAACAAACCTGTACACATAAGCAGCCTGCACCTGCTGGTCTTCTTCATGCTTGGCATTCACAAAAGTCCAAAGATGGATTTCATAAGAGGGACTGAGAGGCCAGCGTTCACTGTGCACGTGACCAACAGCTATCTCCTATACTTAGCATTGTAGTGTTTACATATGCATGCATTATAACAGGAACACTAACTGTTGTTAGAGAACCAAAATTTGAAACATGCGTTATAACTGAGTTGAATGAAAGCAGTCCTAAACACGTGAAGAAAGACCACACTGCCTAAGAGCCGCTTCCCACCACATTTCTGGAAGCTTTAGTTTTCCTTTATGTTCTCTTGTAACTGAAATGTGTAAGAGTGCTCATGCCTGTTCTACTCAGTCTCTAAGCCCCCGAGGCACGTGATTGTAAAGCAGGATTAGATTCACCAAGAAGTCTACACAAAATTGAATCTGGGCCATTATGAAATAAAATGTATTGGTTTTCCAATACATACAGTTAAGTTTTAAGTTATAAAATGTGACTTTTGAGTCACTTGGTAGCTGTGGTAAAAGTCACCATCAGAAAGTGGCCGCAGGCCCATCCTCTTCCTGTGCTCTTGCAAATTGCAGCTGAAAGCAAGGTCCCTCCTTTCTTCTCTGAAATAAAAGCATGATGGCCCCTTTCCTGTCCTAGAAAAGAAAGTTTTCTTCCTACTAACACTGTGTAGCCCATTCTCCTTTTTAATAATTATGAGGTACTTTCTTTTATATACTATGTTCTCTATCATAAAGCAGTTTTATGGTTTAAATACTTATTGACCATTGTGGCTGAAGAATTCTTCCTTAAATGGTCTGCCATTTTATTGTAAAGCAATGCTTTGATTTCTAGGGAATGATAAATTCTCTCTCTCTCTCTCTCTCTCTCTCTCTCTCTCTCTCACACACACACACACACACACACACACACACACACACACACGCACACACACACATCAACTCTCTCTGCTCAGACTCAAAATAATCTCCAGCACATTGAGAAAGGTAATGACCACACACATTAAAACTTGCTCATTGGATGTTATTAACACTCAAAAGCTGTTTTAGAAGCTGTAATGGGGTCTGGGGCCAGAAAATTCCACTGAATGGAGACAAGAAGTGACACTTCATCTCTTTCAATAACTGCAGATCTATGAGCTTTCTCTTCTAGCTAGGTGGCCAGCACTATATGCTGTTATAGTTTTAATAATGAATGTCCTGCTCTCCAGGACATTAAGAGATTAAATTAGAATATAGTGAGATCACAGGATGCATCTTTAGCTAAGCATAGGTGTTTGCTACCTACCTGTCACTGTATAGAAAGTTACAGGGAGAGGGAGAGCTCACAGTTTAAAGGACTCAGTCCATAATGCTAGAAAATGTAGGGTTGGAAAGGCTCTACTTAAGGGAAGCAGAGACAGAGAGTGGCTATTTTTCAATGGACATGGACTAGGAAGCAGAGAGGTCAGCCCAGAACCTGTGGCTGATATAACCTTGTGGCGTTCCCAGTGATGTCCTTCCATTAGACAGATCTGACATACTAAGGGTTCTGGACCTTTATAACATTACTGAAGGTGGGAACCTATCATCTTACTATGACCTTGGAGAGCAGGACATTCATTATTGAAACTATAACAGCAAAAATTGCTTATGTAGCTCATTGGGAGCCACTGCCCCAAGGCTATGGATGTGGATCAGTTGGTAGAGGGCTTTCTAGCATGTATAGAGCCTTGGGTTGGATCCTCAGAATTATATAAACATGGTGTGGTAGCCTACATCTATAATCCTAGTACTTGAGATATGAAAAAAAAAAGAGGATTAGAAGTTCAGGGTTATTCTCAGCTATATTCTGAGATCAGCTTGTCTGGCTATTTTGTATGGATTCTTGGTCCAAATTGAGATAGCCATGTTTGCACAGCAAGCACTTTACTGACTGACCCATCTTTCCAGTCCTTGTCACACTGTTAAAGAGTTGGAGATAAAACATCTGCTGCACATAAAGTAGCAGAGAAAACCCATCATAAGTGTATCAGTCACTGCAGGTGAAAATTTCATGCCAGATAAGGTCTACAATGTTGGCAGACCATTGTTTCAGTTCTATTGCCTCTGACAGACACTGTCTACAGCCAATCCAACAGTGTACAGGAGCTAAGGGTCCTGGACAAAATAAGTGGGCTGGGGCATGCTAATATCACAGCCAAGTATCACTCTAAATCTATTATAATAGACAAAAGATGCGCTCTAGTAATGTCCAATAAGTGAGTTTCTTATAAGCCCATTGCTATGCCAACAGAAAGGAGGGGGAATGATTCTGAGGAGATTAAAAAACATCTGTACCAGCAGCTCCTACTCACACGTGGTATGTGGTCCTCATAGGAATGCAAGATTGGATGAGGACTAAAAGGTGTTATTCTAACAGCTCAAACTCTTTTTACAAATATTTACACTATTGTTACAAATGTGGATTGGAG